CTTCTCCTCCTTCCCAGTCATTTTCTTTGTCCTTTTACTACCAAGTTCACAGCTCTTCAAATTCAGTTCAACTTAATTCAGCAAGCTGTGCTGAATACCTACCACTAGGCCAGTGAGAACATGTTTCCTTGAGGAATATACTGCATTGGTCTGTGGTGTTTAGTAGTGGTGTTTAGTAGTAACTAAGAGCATGAGCTCTGAATTTAGACAACCTGTAATCTAATCCTGGCTCTACTACTGTCTAGCTTTTTGATCTGCATCAATTTTCTTCTCTGTGATTAGTTTCATCATCAATAAAATGTGTGTATAATAATAATATTTATTTCATGAACAATTTTTCTGAGTATTAAATGAAATCAAATCATGTACATAAGGTGCTTAGCACAGTACCTGGCTTGAAATAAACTCCTAGTGAATGTCAACTTTTATTGAAAAATCTTCATCTTCAAAAGCAGTCTTTTGTTAAGAATGTAACAAATATTTCAACTATAATGCTGTAATGACAATGGAAAGAAAAGAGGTCAACACCACTAATGATGTATGGGAAGGCATCACTAAGGAAGGAACATTTAACATAAATCTTAAAGATGACTTATCAGGGGGACAAGTGGGGAAGGGCTTTCTGAACAGAGAGATCAGTAAGTACAAAAACTCCAAATGGTAGAAGTATTTGGCAGATTTGGGGAAAGCAAATATTTTTATATGGTTGGCATGTGGGGTGATTGAACCTGGAAATATTATAAAGGTTCTTAGATGTCATAATAAGTTTTCACTTTATCCAAATCCAATAAGGAGCTAGTACAGAATTTTATGGACCTTGCTTTTAGAGCTTCTTGAGCTCCTTATTTTCAATGACCTCCATGTCTGTTCCACTGACATGGAAGAGCCATTCATTGACCCAACTTCAAGTTAGAATTTATAATCATTCATAACTGTTTACCACCAGTGTTCTGACTACAACTTGAGGCCTCTCACTTTCTTATTTCTATTGAACTTGAACTTCACCTTTAAAAGAACCTCAGCCACTTGGCCTCTCCACATTCATACTGTCCATCACTCCTTCTCTTGATATGTCTAACAAGCCTAGATTTCTTCTTTTTTTTAAATTTTTATTGTGATTTGGGTGAAAGTTTACAGAGCAAATTCACTTTTCATACAGCAGCTCACAATACACTTTGTCTCATAACATTGACTACAATTTACCACAATGCAACAGCTCTCCTCCCTCTTCCTCCCCACAGTTACCTCTTGCCTGTGTCTGTTCCTCCCACGCACTCCTGCTTTCTTGGGCATCTTTGGGAGGACTTGAACCTGCACCTTTTTGGTAAGCAGCCAAATATGTTAACCATTTGCACCACCCAGGGCCTCCTAAGTACAGGGTCTTGGATAACTGAACAGATCACCCATCCATGACACCCAGGTCTTGCTCATATACCTACTAGAAGAGCTGAAGGAGGGAACATCAGAGAAGATTTTTGCCAGCAAAGAGCTCCACGTGTAGCATCAAAATAGATGGAGTAATTCTCTAGAATTTCTGAGAAGTGTTCATTACCTTATTCTACAGCAGTGAAATTGGTAATTCTTTAGGTTTCAGGAAGCATCTGGGAATCATTATCTGTCCATGTGTTGAACTGCTCTAAGCAACCTCCATATAATCATGGCTTCTCTTCTAGCAGCCAAATCTAAAAATATCTCTTTGGCAAACTCAACCCACCAATCATTTGGGGAAAGAAATATGGGGAAATTCACCCTCTGGCTTCCCTGTGATAAAGAAGGGATTTTGGGAAGGGGAGATAGCAATGTTGAGTTGACAAGAAGTGAGCCTGCCTTATCTGGACTGAAGCTTGTCGCACTTAAATTCTAGTACTTTGCTGTTACTTTCTATTGAGTTCTAATGTGACAGCTCCCCCCCCCCCACACACACACACATCCAGGTAATGGCATCTCTTTTACTAGATAACTATGTTTGGATGGTTGGAGAGTAGGGAAGGCTCTGGCTCTTCTATTATACCTTGCAGTGTATGTGACAATATTCATTAATGTGGACTCTCCTCACATCAACTAATATGACTTTTCCATAAATGGAAAGAAGAAGGAGAAAGAAGAGAAGTAAGTAGCAAGGAAGACAGGAAAGGAGAAGAGGGTAAAGGAGAAAGGAGGGAATAAAAAGGAAGAATCAAGCCAAAAGGTCTTTGAAGAGAAAAGAGAATACAGTGGGTGCCTTGTCAAGAAAACCAAGATGAGAACAATCATTAGAGAAAGAAGGCTGTTTATGAACAGGGAGACAGCTCAGGGGGCAAAAGTGCATGGAGGGATGGACACAGGAAAGAGGTAACTATTGGGAGAAAGCAGGAGGGGAGCTGTTGCATTGGGGTAAATTGTAGTCAATGTCATGAGACAAAGTTATGTAACCTGCTGTATGGAAAGTGAATTTGCTCCATAAACTTTCACCCAAATAACAATAAAAAAAGAAAGAAAGAAAACTAAGATGAAATGGAATGGCTTTTTAGTTGTGGCTAATATAAGAAGAAAAAGAGCACTCAGATTATTTGTCAGGGAAATTCTCTACCAAAGACAATGGGTAAACATGGGAAGGTCTCATCATTTTATTCTTTCAGTTAATACTTTAGGAAACTGCATGTGATTTCAAGTCTTCTTAGAAAATTCTGAACTTCTTTTTACAGTTAGTGAAAACTGTGTAGCTCAGAGTGGAACTCTCCCAACTGTCAGGAATCTGACATTTTAGGTCACATATATTAATGTATAAATGTCACTATGGATATTAGTGAGGGGTTCTGTGGGTATAGTGCCTAAGGCACTTGACTGCTAACCAGAAGGTTGGCAGATCAAACCCACTAGCCATTCTGTGGAAGAAAGACAGAGCAATCTACTTCTGTGAAGATTTATTGCCTTGGAGACCCAAAGGAGGTTGCCATGAGTCTGAATCAACTTGATGCCAGTGAGTTTGTTTGGTTTTGGTATGGTGCTGTAGTGGTTAATGTATTTGGCTGCTAATGAAAAGGACAGTGGTTCAAACCCGCCAGCCACTCCACTGAAGAAAGATGAAGCAGTCTGCTTCTGTAAAGATTTATAGACTTGGAAATCCAATGGGATTCACTAAGAATCAGAATCAATTCAATGGCAAAGAGGGTTTTTTTTTTTTTTTTTGGTTTATGGATATTAGCATAATCTTACCTATTTTAAGTTACCAACATGGTCAGAGGAATTCTTTTTTTGCCCCCTTCCTGCTCTATACAGTCCTCTTTCGGTGCCAAGTTCCTTAGATCCTGTTTGTTTTGTTTTCTTACCATGTTTTCTCCCATATTATACAGAACTGATAACCAACTCCAACAAATTTTTGGGTCCAAAATGCAAACCTGTGAAAGAGCTTTGTAGTTCAGAATTTTCCAGTTCTTACACAACCTGGCACAGAAGGAATACTCACTGTAACTGCATTAAATTCCTATCGTTACATACAGTTTTAATGTATGGTGACATTTTTAATAACACTAGCCATAAAAAGGAGCTCTGGTAGCGTAGTGCCTAAGGCACTTGACTGCTAACCAGAAGGCTGGCTGTTCAAACCCACCAGCCACTCCTCGGAAAGAAGGTTGGGCATTCCTACTTCCGTAGTGATACTGCCTCGGAAACCCAAGGAGGGGTCGCTATGAGTCGGGGCCGACTCGATGGCAAATAACAACAACAACAACAGCCATAAAAATGTTGCCACATAAAATGAACCACACAGTTTACTTTTATGAAGGTTGATTGACTGTGTACGATTAATAGCTATCTGCACATGACAGCAAATATCCGAATGAGAATTGTCAACTATACTGATGGTTTATCTATGAAGCCAAACAGCTGGTGATACAAAAACATCTGGATGACTAACTGGACTTTCACCTTTCTTCCAGTGTTTTTGGCATGCAGACATAGACCAAATCACTTTTGCCTGTAGCGGTGATAAAGGGCAATACAAACCATGCTGTTAAGCAATATTAGGATTAATACAAATAAAATCACTTTCAAAATTAGTAGCTTTCTTTTTTTTAATTGAAATTTTATTTAAGTGATTGAAGCACATTTCTATACATGGATCAGGGTTACTTTAAAACTAAAGTCTCTGAACTACAACATGAAATGTAGTTGCAGTATTTAAAATAATGGTTCATAAAGTGTTTCTTAAGCATTAGGAAATAATCTGTGTTATATCAGATTGAAACCCAGATTATTATATGCATTTTATTTGAGTTTTGAAAGGTAAAATTTAGAAAAGTTTCAAAAATTTTAAACCAATTGTTTGGCTTTATATGTTAATAATTACCAACAAATGTAAATGACTAAACACCAAAGGGTATAATCCAATCCCAAAGAAAAATTGTGAAAGAACAATTCTCTTCTTTTTCTTTAGTCAATATTTAGTATGTACAGGTACTCTTATAAGTCCTTTAACACATTTAAGTATAATAACAATAATCCTAAGAGATGGCTATGATTAGTCTCCATTTTTCAGGTGAGAAAACAGAAATATGCAGAGATTAAGAAACTTGCCCAAAGTCACTCAGCCAATAAGTGACTCTGACAAGCTCCCCAGCCAGGCAGTCTGTCTTTGCAATCTGGGCTTTTAACCACTACTCTATACACTATCTAACTAAACCAAATGCTTAAAAATAATTTGAAAGCATTGACCAATCCATTTTTGGCTTCCAACAAAAGTACAGTTAACAATAACTTTGTTCTAAAAATGACTTTTTTGTTTCCCCAGAATACAAAGGCACAAGCTGTTGTATGCAATAATTCTTTGCAACTAACAGCTGCTCTGCTTTGTGCAACTTTTCACAAGCATGCCAAAATGTTGATAACAATTACAATTAAAGAGGGAAATTATTTTGGTTAACATAACATTTGACAAGCGCTGTGGTAAATAAAGAGTTGCCAAATAACTAAAATATTAACACTTGGCTAAAACTTCTCTCTTTTCTCTGCTCTTTTAAAAGGTGTAAACTGTGAGCTGGAAATTAATGAATGTTGGTCACAGCCCTGTCTAAATAGTGCAACCTGTCAGGATACTCTGGGGGGTTATTTCTGTGCCTGTGTGCCTGGATTCCTAGGAGACCACTGTGAACTCAACGTGGATGAGTGTGCCAGTCAGCCATGTCTCCACGGAGGGCTGTGTGTGGACGGAGACAACAGGTATGCTCTCTTCGGGTGCTTGGCTTAGAGAGAACTCACTGACCAAGAATGGTTATCTCACTCCAGTGAATTTGGGGATCTCACATTCTCAAGATTTTACACTTAAAATGAAGAAAAGTTGTAACATTGTTCAGACTATACCTAAAAATATATCCTTTCGAGATCATCTGCCCCCAAATAAAGATTGTCTAGGTCACTTGTTAGGGGTCCCTGGGTGGTGCAAACTCTTAAATGCTTGGCTACTAACCAGAATGTTGGAGTTTCGAGTCAACCCAGAGGGGCCCCAGAAGAAAGTCCTGGTAATCTGCCTCCAAAAGATCCCAGTCATGGAGCAGTTCTACTCTGCCACACATGGCATTACCATGAGTAGGGATCAACTCTGCAGCAGCTGATTTTTTGTTTTTTCTTATAGTAGTTTAGAACTGCTTTTATTACTCAAAATTCCCAGCCTTTCAATTCTATGAAATAGAAAAGGTACAAAAGCAAATCTAGAGATTATTCTATGTGTTAATATAAGATTGCATCACTACAGCAAGCATGTACATTAAGTAGTGAAAAAGAAAGCCTTTAGGAATTTTATATAAACTGCACTGGAAAGGACAATTATATTAAACTAGTTATGTCTTTCAACTCAATAATGCTAATTGTAATTGTTTAATTGTGATGTGAGCTGAAATGGACTGGTTTTGGCCATTTTGAATCAGACAACCATATGATCTACTATGCCAGGAATGACAGTTTAAAGAGGAATGACATGGCATTCATCATCACAAAGGATGTTTCAAGATCTGTCCTGAAGAACAATGTTGTCAGTGATAGGATAATATCCATACGCCTACAAGGAAGACCTGTTAATATGACTATTATTCAAATTTATGCACCAACCACCAAAGCCAAAGATGAGGAAATTGACGATTTTTATCAACTTCTGCAGTCTGAAATTGACTGAACATGCAATCAGGATGTGTTAAGTATCACTGGTGACTGGAATGCAAAAGTTGGAAACAAAGAAGAATCATTGGCAGTTAGAAAATTTGGCCTCAGTGACAGAAATAATGCTGGAACTCACATAGTAGAATTTTGCAAGACCGACGACTTGATCATTGCAAATACCTTTTTTCAACAACACAAAAAATGGCTGTACACATGGACTTCACCAGATGGAACACACAGGAATCATATTGACTACATCTGTGGCTAGAGGAGGTGGAAAACTCAATATCTTCAGCCAAAACCAGGCCGGGAGCTGATTGTGGGACAGACCATCAAGTGCTCATATGCAAGTTCAACTTGAAGTTAAAGACAATTAAAACAAGTCCAAGAGAGCCAAAATATGATCTAGAATATATCCCTCCTGAATTTAGAGACCATCTAAAGAATAGATTTGATGCATTGAACATCAATGACTGGAAATCAGAAGAATTGTGGGATGACATCAAGAGCATCATACATGAAGAAAGCAAGAGGTCACTAAGAAGACAACAAAAGAAGACCAAAATGGATGACAGAAGAGACTGAAATTTGCCTTTGAGCAGAGAGTAGCTAAAACAAATAGAAGAAATGACAAGATAAAATAATTGAACTGAAGATTTCAAAGAGCAGCTTGAGAAGGCAAAGCCAATTACTCTAATGAAATGTGCAAAGACCTGGAGTTAGAAAACCAAAAGGGAAGAACACACATGGAATTTCTCAAGCTGAAAGAATTGAGGAAAAAATTTAAGCCTCGAGTTGCAATATTGAAAGATTCTAAGGGCAAAATATTGAATGATACAGGGATATTGAAAGAAGATGGCAGGAATACACAGAGTCACTGTATCAAAAAGAACTGGTCGATCTTCATCCATTTCAAGAGGTGGCATATGATCTAGAACCGATGGTACTGAAGGAGGAAATCGAAGCTGCACTGAAGGAATAGGCGAAGAACAAGGCTCTGGGAATTGACGGAATATCCATTGAGATATTTCAACAAATGGATGCTGCACTGGAGGCACTCAATCGGTTATGCCAAGAGATTTGGAAGACAGCTACCTGGCCAACTGACTGGAAGAGAATCATATTTGTACCCATTCCAAAGAAAGGGGATACCACAGAATGTAGAAATTATCGAACAATATCACTAATATTGCATGCAAGTAAGATCTTACCGAAAATAATTCAAAAATGGTTGCAGCAGTATGTTGACAGAAAACTTCCAGAGGTGCAAGCTGAATTCAGAAGAGGACATGGAACAAGGGATATCATAGATGCTATCTGATGGATCCTGGCTTAAGGCAAAGAATACCAGATAGATGTTTATTTGTGTTTTATTGACTATGCAAAGGCATTTGATTGTGTGGATCATGACAAATTATGGATAACATTGAGAAGAATGGGAATTCCCAAACACTTGATTGTACTCATGAGGAACCTGTACTTTGACCAGGAGGCTGTCGTTCAAATGGAACAAGGGGGCACTGCATGGTTTAAAGTCAGGAAGGGAGTGTATCAGGGTTGTATCCTTTTCCCACACTTATTCAATCTATATGCTGAGCAAATAATCTGAGAAGCTGGACTATATGAAGAAAAACATGGCATCAGGATTGGAGGAATTTGCTTGCTGAAAGTGAGGATGACTTGAGGTACTTACTGATGAAGATTGAGGAACACAGTCTGCAGTATGGATTACATCTCAATATAAAGAAGACAAAGATCCTCACAACTAGACCAATAAGCAGCATCACGATAAATGGAGAAAAGATTGAGGTTGTCAAAGAATTCACATTGTTTGGTTCTACAATTGATGCCAATGGAAGCAGCAGGACGTTAGACAACGTGTAGCACTGGGCAGGCTGGCTGCAAAGGAACTCTTTCAAGTGCTGAGGAGCAAGGATGTCTCCTTGAGGACTAAGGTGTGCCTGACATAGGCCATGATATTTCCAATCGCCTCTTATGCATGTGAGAGCTGGACAAGGAATAAGGAAGACCAAAGAAGAGTTGATGCTTTTGAGTTGTGGTGCTGGTGAAGAATGCTGAAGATACCATGGACTGCCAAAAGAAGTAACAGATCTGTCCTGGAGGAAGAGCAGCCGAGATGTTCCTTGGAAGCGAGGATGGCTAGACTTCGTCTCACTCACTTTGGTCATGTTGTCAGAGGGAACCATTCCCTGGAGAAGAATGTCATGCTAGGTAAGGTGGAGGGTTGATGAAAGAGGAGAAGGCCTTCGACAAGATGGATTGACACAGTGGTTGCAACAATGGGCTCAAGTATAGCAAGGATCATGGAGCTGGCATGGGATTGTGTGGTGTTTCGTTCTGCTGTGCATTCGCTCGCTATGAGTCAGAAATGACTTGACGGCACCTAACAACAGCAACACAGTTATGTCCTGAATTTCCAGGTGTTTGGAGAATTGAGTGAATACTTCTGAGAAAGTAGAATGATCAGAAGTAGATGTCTGATTCTTTGGTGTTTCACACAAAAGCATCAACAGTAAATTATACCTTAATGTGATAGATACAATAAATTTTGCTAGTGGCAGTTGAATTCACATAAAATCTGTAGAAAACTTTCTGTTCCTTATTTAAACCACAAATACTGAATTATCAAATGCATAAATTTTTAACAGCATCAGCACATAATTATCTTGTTAAGATGAACGTTAATGTTTCTGTATTACAAAAAAGGAATCTAAGGTTAAGGGAAGCTAAGTGTTTCTCACAAAGTCACATAATTAATTCCTTGAAAAAAAAAATGACTAGAATCTTCTTTCATTTAGTAAGTCAGATATAATTTATCTCAAAACTATTTTTAATGGTGAATCAGACTCAATACGAGAGCAATAAAAGGCATCAAGCTTATCCACCAAAATAACAGAAATTTAAGTAGAGCAATGTAGTTGTTCATTTCTTTCATAAAATAGTATACATGACTTTTAACCACATTCCATGAATTGCCTCTGACTTTTAGTTGTACCTACATCATGCTCCAGTGACATGAACCTAAATATCCGAAGGAAACTGACCACCACAAAGATGGAACCAGAATGGAAGTTTTCACACAAGAACTCCAAAGAAAAAGAAGGAGGCTCCTCCTTCCTGGTTTAATGTCTCCAGAAAGCCTCAGGACAGAAATTACCCAAAACTTTTGACTCTATGGAAATACATAGAGATTGGGGCTAAAACCTTTTTATCTTTTATTTTCCTCACTTAAATGTATGTGACAAGAATAATGTGTTCATTTTTCCCTTTGTTGATGTTAACCAAAAACCCACCTCCATCATTGATTCTGACCCATAGCGAACGCCATTGGGTTTCCAAGACAGTAATTATTTGGGAAATAGATTGCCCCATTTTCCTCCCCCAGAGTGGCTGATGGGTTTGAAATGTCAACCTCTGGTTAGCAGTCAAATGCCTTAGGCACTACACCACCAGAGTTCCTTTTTTGTTGATGTTAGGTGCCCTCAAGTTGATTCCAACACATAGCCATCACCTGTAACAGAGTAGAACTGTCTATAGAGTTTTCTAGGCTGTAATCTTTATGGGGGGAGCTCTGGTGGCATAGTGTCTAAGGCACTTGACTGCTAACCAGAAGGCTGATGATTCAAACCTACCAGCCACTCCTTGGAAGGAAAGTTAGGCGATCTACTTCCGTAGTGATACTGCCTCGGAAACCCAAGGAGGGGTCACTATGAGTTGGGTTGGACTCCATGGCACATAACAAGAACAACAACAACAATCTTTATGGGAGTAGCCTTGATGGAATAGTGGTTAAAGCACTTGGCTACTAACTGAAAGGTCCACAGTTTGGCTTCAAACCCACCAGCTGCTCCACGTCATGTGGAAGAAAGATGTGGCAATCTAATTCCTTAAAGATTTACAGCTTGGAAACCCTGTGGGGCAGTTCTACTCCATTCTACAAGGTTGCTATGAGTCAGAATCAACTTGATGGGCAGTGGGTTTGGTTAACCTTTACATTAGCAGATCACTAGGTCTGTACCCCATCAAGCACCCAGGTGAACTCAAACTGCCAATTCTTGGTAAGCAGCCTAGTGCTTAATCATTGCACCACCAGGACTGCTTTATTTTACCCTTATCATTTTTATTACCTGCTATTAGACTTTAATTTTGGGAAGAGGATAAGCACAAGGACACAAATATGACCAGAGTTTAATTTTCCACAACAAAAAATTAGCATAGGGAAATGAGAGAAGTAAACTTTTTTTTTTTTTTTTTTTAAAAAAAAGGCTTTTCTAGACCAAGGGAATTATCCAAATGACCTCTAATTTTATAAATTGATGTCCCCTAGTCAGGAAGCAAGGAGTTTTGGTAGCACAGTGTCTAAGGCATTTGACTACTAAGCAGAAGATTGGTGGTTCAAACCCACTAGCCACTGCACGGAAGGGAGATGGGATTTACTGCCTGGGAAACCCAATGGGGGTCACTATGAATTGGAAACAACTCGATGGCAGTGAGTTTGGTTTCAGTCAGGAAGCAGAAGCTCTGACGGTGTGGTGGTTAAGGCATTCAGCTGCTAACCAAAAGGTGAGTGGTTGGAACACATCAGCTGCTTCATGGGAAAAAAAAAAAAAAAAATGAGGCAATCTATTTCCATAAAGATTTACAGCTTGGAAACCCAATGGGGGGTCACTATGAGTCAGAATTGTGTTGACAGCAGTGAGATTTTGTTTGAGTCAGGAACTACCTTCTCTTCAACATCTTACAAATAGTAGGGTTTTAGTAAGTATTTTTCATTAAATGAATGGATTAGTAAATAGAGGATTTCTAACTAGCAAGATACACAAAAATTATAGTCACATTACATTTGGCTAATATTTCAGGTATTAGTGAAGTTCTAATATCTATCTGTATGGCATGAGGGGTTAAGAGCTTGACTATTTATGCAAAGGTTGCTATCTGAATATACCCAGAAGCACTGGGGAAGAAAGGCCTGGTTATCTGCTCCCAAAATGTCATAACCTTGAAAACCCTATGGAGCACTTTCTACTTTGTATACATAGGTCACATGAGTTGGCATGGATTCAATGGCAACTGGTTTGGTTTTGGAATATCTGTGTTTAGTGGTAAATATGCACAGTCATGGTGAATAGGACTCTAATGGCTTTATCTTTTCTTCCTAGGACTACTTTAGTAGTCCTAGGGTAGTACAGGTGGCTAAGCGCTGGACTAAAGGTTGAAATTTAGAACTCACCCAGAAGCACCTGGGAAGACAGGTCTGGAGACCTGCTTCCGAAAGGGCACAGCCTTGAAAACCCTATGGAGCAGTTCTACTCTGCCCACATGGGGCCACCATGAGTCAGGATCAACTCAATGACAAGCAACAACAATACCAATAGATACTTATTTTATCTAAACTGCATATGTTCACCTATGTTTTTACAGTACTAAAACCTTGAGGAGATTTAATCTAAATTAAAAGCCTCCTCTTGATGAAGTCAACAACTTTCCCCATCAGATGTTTTAGCCAGGAAGCAGGAGCTCTGGTGAATGTATCTGACCGAGACTGTCAGATAATCATCAACAAATGATCAAAAATGTGGTGCTAAATTATTCTTGTGATTTAAAAATAAGAGAAAATCATAAGTCGCAACTGATTTAATGAGGTCTGATTTTTTTGTAATGTGTTGTTTCATTTTTCATGAAGAACCTTATTAATCGGCCCTATAAATAAAAGAGTGCCATAATGATATTAATCATTCTTTACTGCCTTCAAAATATTAACAATTTTATTTAGAACTATTTAATAGCAATTTATTCAATGCCTCCTGATGCTTGAGAGATGGAGCTTTCTTCCTTACAGGCACATTTCACCCTCTGACATGCATAATATCATCTTCAATTTATGGATGAGAAAACTGAAGGAAACAATCATGGTTTCCAAATAAGTTTACATGAAGCTGTATTATAAATTTAAAACAAAGTAAATGTTTTCTAATGATAATGCATTAATAGGAAACTCATAATACTTTCAGGCCTATTAGAGCCACTTCCTGAGATTTTGATGTAAGTATTAAGACTGTACCATTAACCTCAAGTTGATGGACAGGTAAAGAGGACAGGAAAAAGATAATTTATCTTAATATGACCAAGAGTTGACATGAAACTTTCATTTTACTCTCCAGATATAACTGTAACTGCACGGGTAGTGGATTCACAGGGATACACTGTGAGACCTTGATGCCTCTGTGTTGGTCAAAACCCTGTCATAATAATGCTACATGTGAGAACAGTGTTGACAATTACACTTGTCACTGCTGGCCTGGTAAGTGACAATATAAATTCCACCATTTTTTTTTTCTCTTAGAATAGAAACAAATCTTTTGTATAAAAGTAAAACTAAAATTTCTTCTTGTTAAAGGTTTAAAATCAACTTTCTTCTAGTTATTGTAGTTTAATTTAACTGTGCTTTTCAACGTTTATACATACCTCCTGCTATGCTAAGCGTTATCTGAAGTAGGTGAGCAACCTGCCCAGTAATCAGAACTCTCTAGAAGAAACAGATGGAGAAAATCAATCAAATGACAAAATTCAGCATCTTCATAGAGAAAAAAATCACTGACAGATGCTTCCTTTGCTTCTAAAATATTCTCTTAGACACCTGGAAAGGGTAGAAATCCATGAAATAATGTTGAAATCCTAGGAGTTTGTCTTATAATTCATGGAATCAGTCAACATGGTTATGATGATACCCACAGAGGGTATAGAATAATATTCCAGAAATAGGAGAATTCTCCTAGGAACCTATAACACAAAGAAGAATTCAAATTAAGCATACATTAACCACAGCCAGAAATTACACATAAATGGTAATGAGAAGGCTTTATGGAACTCTAGACTAGAGTGTAAAGTTGATGTCAGAATAACTAGAAAATAGTATGCAACACTTGACTCAATGCTGATGTTAATTGGCAAGTAACCTACTTGACATACTTTTAGTTTAAATCTCCCTAGAATTTCATGATTGAAATGAAAGGTACAGCATCTCCTCTCTTCTTTCTTGATTTACTGAAAAATAAATGATAAATTTATGATTTTTCAAGGTTTGTTTATATAAGCTTGGAGTCCCTGGGTGGTGCGAATGGTTAATGGCTCAGATATTAACTTTGAGGTTGGAAGTTTGGGTCCATCCAGAGCTACCTCAGAAGAAAGTCATGACAACCTACATCCGAAACATCAGCCATTGAAAACTCTGTGGACCACAGTTCTTTCTGACACATATAGGGTCTCCATGAACCAGAATCAACTCAACAAACATAGTTTTTCAGTTACATAACTGTACTAATCATCTATCTCTCGCCCCATTTATTTTTCTAAATTATTTATTTATTTATTTATTTTTAAGAAGAGAATAATCCTGTGTTTGGGGACAAAACAGGGAGATAGGAGTCTATGGCTAGTAGCTTTGGTTGAAAGATGTTCCACTGCTTAAGGAACTTTTAATGTTTTTGATTAAAGGTATTTTGTAGGTAATAACAATGAAAATAGAAAATGAAGCTTAGAATATTTTTTGGTTCAGAAATCTATGTATGTTGTATGTCCCCCTACTTCCAGAGAATTGATAGGACATGTCAGCTATCCTTTTTTGTTGCTTCACTTAGATCCTGAAAAGTTTCCAAAACAAATTGCTCCATATTCTTGTCATCAACCAACACTCATGAAGTGACTCTGACCAGAGGCAGAGGGTGGAGTGGACAGTGTCACAATAGGAAAGGTCCACTACTTATTAGCTGAGTGAACTTGGGTGAGTTACTTCTTAGACTGTAGGTTCATCATCTACAAAAGAGGGATAAAAGTAGTTTACTTGTAGTGCTGTTGTAGAGAGTAAAATTATAGAGTCTGGCACATATTGTTATTGGTATTGTTGGCTGCTGTCGAATTGGTTCCAACTCAAAGACCCTATATGACAGAGTAGAATCTCCCCCATAGATTTTCCTAGGCTATAATCTTTACAGGAGGAAATCACCACATCTCTTCTCCTGTGGAGCCACTGATGAGTTTGAACTACTGAGCTTTTGATTAGTAGCTGAGTAGTTAACCATTGAACCACAGAGATCCTTTGGCAAACATTAGGCACTCAAAAAAGAGCAACTATTATTAAAACTGAGTTCTTGACCAGAAAGTGTGAATTAGGTAGGAGAGCTAGTTTTAGCTCTCTAGGGGGTTTGTAATGGAGTTGTAGAGTTAAGAAAACCTGCCTAAAAAGATAGTGTTCTGTTCATTCATAGATTCAATCAATTAAGCCACATAGATTCATGTTCCCACTATATATATCAAGGAATCAAAAAGACATGGTATTTTCTTCTTCTAAGAAGCTGTAATTCTGGTAGGGAGACAATGTACAAAAATGTACATAGTGAAGTAATGGATATAAGAAGGAGTTATAATGAATTCTGTTAAAGACAATAAGGAGACAAGAAGTGCAGAGGTGACTTAACAAAGAGGCACCATTTTAAAACATGAGAGATGACTAGGTATGTACCAGAAATATACTCACAAACCGTTTGACTTTGGACAAGTTATTTACTGTTGTGTACCTCAGTTTCGTCATCTACAAGGATCCTCAAGAATAAGCAGAGATGATAGTAATACCCACCTCTTAGCATTGTTTTGAAATAAATACAGTACAGTATATAAAGTTCCTAGCTCAGCCTGCTTCAAATTAAGTCCTCAATAAATGTTAACTAGATAGCAAATCAGAAAGTTGACCATACTAGGCCTTGTGGCTAGCACATAGTAACTCATTACTTACTTAAGGAAAGAAGAGAGGAAGTAGAAAAAGAAGGAAGGAAGAGAGGTAGGCAGGTGCCTACAAAGAAAAGAACATGTTCAATTGTGGAATTTTAAGTGATTATTCAAAAAACACTGACATATGTAGGGATACTGGTAGAGAGATGGGACTGGAGGGAAAGACTGAAGTCTGATTGCACTGTTACATTTCTACCTTAAAAATTATGGGGGAAGTGACATAATAAGACCTGTTAATTTTTTAAAAACTGTCAGACTACCATATGACCCAGCCCTGTTCACAATAGCCTAAAGGTGTAAACAACCTAAATACCCATCAACAGATGAATGGATAATCAAAATGTTATCTATCTATCTATCTATATATAACAAAATGTTTTATATATACATATATATATATATATATATTTGTTGTTGTTGTTATTTGCCATCGAGTCGGCCCTGACTCCTAGCGACCCCTCCTTGGGTTTCCGAGGCAGTTATCACTACGGAAGTAGGATTGCCCAACCTTCCTTCCGAGGAGTGGCTGGTGGGTTTGAACTGCCAGCCTCCTATATATATATATAGTGGAATACTTCTCAGCTTGGATAATTGTCTTGTTATCCAACATTTCACATTATGACAATAGGAAAAAAAATCAACCATCTGACTATTTCACATTAACAACATGTATCAGGAAGTAATGGATGCTTACTTAGGTGCTAGGCAATAGTAACACTGGCTGTGATGGTTAAGGTTATGTGTCAACTAGGCTGAGCCATGATTCTCAGTGGTTTGACAGTTATGCTATATTTTGGCAATTAAGTAATGATGTAGTCATCTTTCATTTTGTGATCTGATGTGGCAATCTTCCATTTTCTTGAAACACCAATTTTCACATAATGACCTGGTCTTTGAAACCTAACCATGTTGACAAGTGAGGAATGTGTGTATGGTGAACAAAACAAGTCTGTCACAAAAGGGCAAATATTATATGACCTCATATAAATAAAAAGACAAAAAAGGCAAGTGTATAGAAAAATAAATTTATTAGTGGTTAAGGAGGGAGAAGGAAAGGGGGGTTAATGGTGACAGGAAAAAATTCATTGATTAAGGGTAGGGTTGCACAGCCAGTTATTGTAATTGCTGTAATAAGCTGAGTACCTGTAAAGAGTTGAATTGGCAAAAGTAGTTTGATATATATATTTAAAACAATGACAAAAAATTAGTTGCTGAGGCTTCTTATGTACAACCAAACATCTCGTGAGATTTGATTCCTTGGTTTTGAGGTTTAGGGTCATGTTTTCAAGGAACTTCCCAGTTATTGACATAATAGTGTGCTTAGTGCTTCTGTTCTACCTCCTAGTTCATTGTATAGTTCCTGGGGTCTTAAAAGCTTACAAGCATCCATCCAAAGCACAACAATTGGTCTCTATTCACCTGGAGCAAAAGAGGAAAAAGGAGAGTCAGGAATAGGAGATAGATATTTAATGTGTGGCTAATTACCTCCATGAAAGCCTACCCCTTTTGCCACAAAACGAGAATTGGATGGTAACTGGTTATCATTACTGAAAATTTTGATCAAAGAGTGCATAGAAAAATTCTAATCAAAAGGGGGAAAATGTGTGATAGAATTTCAGATTGTCATGGAGTCTAGACTTTCTGGAACCATGGAGGGTGGATGAAACTCTGAAACAATTGCCCTAAGATAACCTTTAAACCTTAAACCAAAAATTTCCCCTGAAATCATCTTAAAAAGGAACAAAAGTTTAGCTTAAAAGCAAAAAAGGTGTACCTTGAGCATTATGCTCTTTTAAAAACTATCTATATGGGATCAAAAGGGAGCTCTGGTAGCATAGTGGGTAGGCATTTGGATGCTAACCAGAAGGTCAGCAGTTTAAACCCATCAGCTGCTCCATGGGAGGAAGATGAGGCAATCTACTTCCATAAAGATTTATAGCCTTAGAAACCCAATGGGGGTTGCTACGAGTTGGAATCAATTCAATGACAGTGGTTTTTGTTTGTTTTTAAAACGGGATCAAATTGACAAGAGCAACTAAAAAGATGAGATACGAAGTTTAGGGGGCAGTGAATTTATGTTAATGAGGATGGAACAACTCAGAAAAGGAGGGTGAGAATTGCTGCACAACTTGAATGTGATTTTATTTTCCTCCTTCAACTGTAAGTTTCTTTTTCAGATGACTGAGTAAGCCTCCAAGCATAGTATGTAATTTTAATAATCAATGCCACTAAATTGTAAATGGGAAAACTGTCGAATTGGTGTATGTTTTGCTGTGTGTATTTTCAACAACAACAAATAAAGTTGAGAAGAAATAAAGAGCTTTGTGGCAGCTTAGTGGAAGATGATTGAGGAAAACAAACCTGAAGGCAGAGAATCCAGTTAGAGGATTCTGCAGCAATTTTAAACAACTAATTGCAAGCTGGGAGGAAACTGATGCTTCAGTTTGCATGAACTAAGGCAACAACAGTACTAGAAATGTAAGTAACAGGATATATAGAATCATTTAGGTGGTGAAA